ATGTATAAAATGCAGTGAAACTGCAAAACACAAAAGTCTGGGTAGTGAACATATCGGACCAATGAAACGTTTCAGTCAGTTTAGTCCGTTTTGTTTATATCGCTCCACAGCAACAGCCATCCGTCCCACTGGTTGGCTGAGGAAAAGACAGGAAAAAGAGGGGAATTGAAAGACAAGACAAACAACAACAAGAGTGAATGGCATACGATTCTAAAGGAACAAAAAGGTGAACGGGATTATGAGTATAGCATTTAATTAGAGTTAATCCAAGACCGTGCAGAGTGGGACGTGCAGATCAGCCTGTGGACACGGTTCAGTTCAGCTTCCAGATGTAAAATATCTGGCTGTAATCAGCCAGATATTTTCAGGCTGATTAACATTAGGGGAATTTACGCTGTATGAATAACTGTGAGCTGCTGCAGAGATTTACAGTTTCATAGAAAATATGATTCTGTATCCTAAACATTATATTTTAGAAATAGATCGATAGACTTGTGCCAGGTTAACCATGGCCATGTTATTAAATAAAATTTGAATAATTATCACCAATAAAACATCAAATAGTTGGCAGGAAAACCACGACTTCCTGTCCACCGAGATCACTTTCATAATAAAACCGCTGTGCCATCGAAGAGACATGCAGCTTTAGTCGTGCCCTGCCGCTCGGGAGAGACGCTGCGTACTACATCCCGCACAGCCCGGCGATCACAGAGCTACGAAAGGCAGAAACAGCTTTTACGGTAAAACTAACCTAATGTGTGTTTTAGATTAAATGCGTTTTATTTGAATGAATACATTTATTTTTATCAGTATTTTAATTTTTTAAGGCCACAAATTAAGTGGACAATACTGTTGACTTGCGCTGACTTCTATCAGCTTCTATCATCTGCGGTGAATCAAATAACAGCAGCCCCAGCGCAAGTCTCATGACGTCCTTGGACTTGATGAAAAAACAGTGTTTTGCATCTGGGACGCTGTCCTCAGCTTCTCTCAAAAGAAGGTTCATAAAGAACAGCAGGGTCGCTCCGGGGAGGCAACACGATGCGGGCAGAGAGTGTCAGCTGTGCAGGTGAGACAGAAAGTTAGGACACACCGAGAAAACCCCCCAAACACAGGCAGACATTTGGAATATATGGTTCTTTTTCACATTTGCTGTAGATTCTGCTGACTGATTACTTGACAGATTGCACTTAGGGTTCATGTTTATGTTGTCTTCATAATAATGACTAATCGGATAAGTTTGCAAATTATTTAGCGGAAAACAAGTGTTTGCTTAGTTTATTTGCACTAAACAAAGAATATGAAGAGATTATCAGCTTTATTCACAGTACATCTAAATATTGGTGGACCTCTACACTCAACAACATTAAAGTTAAGGTTAATGTGTTCTCTCCTATAACATATAACTGTTTTGCACTGAGAAACTGCGACATCACACCAAGTAATTAAAAACTCGGTGAAAATCAAAAAAGTGACAACAAAAAGAAAAGTAATGTGGAAGTTGTGGAGGGATTTGGTCTGAGGCTTCCTACTAACGAGTTGGCAGTTTAGGTTGGCTAAAAAGGCTGAAGGGAGGTGCCTGGTGTACCTTATAAAGAGGCTTTCACGTAATTAAATCTATAAAATGCCACTCAGCACTATTCATTTGATAAAGTTAATAAATCCACAACCACAAGTTATATTGTCATGATAAAATAATAAAAACAAAAACTGAAGTAGCTCGTCTCCAGCCTTGTGTTCAGGTCAGGGGAATGACCTGAACACAAGCTTTTCAGATCATTCCCCTGCTTTTCTCAATCAATCAAGTTATAATAGGACTATACTGGACTATACTGGACTATACTGGACTATACTGGGCACTCAAATGGGTCCAGACCAAAGAGTACACCTCATAAGGAAGAAGACAAATCTTCACTTTTCACTAGAATTTTTCTAATTTCTCCGATTCTACATTCTGTTAATTAATCTATTCCTGGTCCTCCCTCACTTAAATAGGGAGGTGTTTTTAGGACTTTGTTTTAACATTATAAATAATTCAAGATCCATAAGACATACACCTGACAGAAGTAAAAGCAGCCATCTCACCACAGAGTCAAATGATTTGGGGCAAGAATTGTGTCCCTATATCAGTCCTTGAGAAATAATAATAATAATATTTGACAATAGCACATAGTAGCTATTTGTTTTGTAACAATTCTACCACTAAATATAACAGTAATAAAGAATGTATCTGTACAATAACATATAGTGAGATTATTCCCACTAATATTAAAAATAATCCAACAACAACATGTCGTATGATGTGTTGCAACAGTCCCTGCAAAATACATTTTTTTTAAAAAAGGACTAAAACCCAGTTAAACGTCTGGTAGTGATGTCCTTTGGAATATTTGTAATGCAAATAATATGCATTTGCATATTCACCTGCCAAATAACATGGCCTGCTATGAGCTGTGTGGTTCAATTCTTGTTTTTTTAATGTGTCACTTAGCACTAATTCGCATGTGTGCCAGCATAGTGGGCGCAATAACATTAAAGCTTAAAAATACAGAGTCTAGAAACCGGTATTTGTCTAAAAGGAACAAAAACAGTGCCTGTAATTAGCATTTAGACAGTGCATTGGGTAGTTAGTCTGAAGCACATTAAACAAACTATATTCTTCTTTTGCAGATGTTCCATATTTTCCCATTCAGGCAGCAACCAGACTGTTCGTCGGATTCTGACAGCCTGCCTCCTCTCTTTCATGGCCCTGCTCGGATCTGTATTCATCGACGTCAACTCCAACTTTGACTTGCTGTACACTACAGAAGCAGCTTACAGCGAGCTGACTTCATGCAAGACTCTAACTCTCCTGCAACTTGTCAGTAAACTTCAAAAGACGAGACATTTATTTTCCAAAAAAGTAGGGAATGAGACAGCTGAGGCAAGTTTTCCTCAGATGCTTTTTCTCATCTTTGATAATCACTGTGACGAACTGGTGGGTCGAAGTAATGACATTGGGATTCCTTGCAGTACTGAGTTTCCTAGCTTTTGCAAAGAGCTAGTGAGGAGCATTCAAGGATTTTTAAATACTTCACAGGATACAAACATTACCAGTGAAAGTGGAATTCTTGCTTTCTCACTGGCTATTGAAAGACTTCTTGACATCTGGTGTACAGTAGAAGATACTTTGGTAAAGGCCAAACAGAATTCTAATTGGAGAGATGTACTGTCTGCAAGACTGTTGGTCACATTTATTGAGCTCAACCACCAGTTGAGAGACTTTGGCCACATGCAAACTCCTACTGGCTTCCAGTTTAGATGGTCATACATTCTGAGCTACCTCAGCGTTGCCAGGGTTTTGACAGAAAAACTGAATGACTGTTGGCTAGAAAACATAGACCACGAGATAAACACTACGCTGGATGTTCAGCATTCCTATATTTTTGACACAAGTCAATGGCAGATCTCTGGCACAAGTACGGAACGTCTGTCTGGGTCTCACACCGGAATTCAAGCTCTGACAAACACTCAGCAGTGTTTATTTGACCGTGCAGTGTTGGCTCTCAGGGCGGACTCTCGATCCATCTCTTCAGGCCTCAGTATGAGGATATGCCTGCTGGCCATGGCGTGCCTTATCTACCCTGTGGTGATGTTCTCTTTCAAACAGATGACAGAGTGGATACAGAACTATGCCCACAGTCTGAAGGAGAAAACACAAGACCTTAAGCACCAGAGGCAGCTGGCTGAAGATCTGCTTCACCAAATGCTGCCAAAGTCAGTTGCCAAACAGCTCCGCCAGCATAAACATGTTGAAGCTGAGAGCTACGAAAAGGTTGGTGCAAGAGGTAGCTATGACTATACCAGGTTATACAGTGAAGGATTGCTGGTGTTTAAATCCCCCCTTCAAACCTGATTGGACCAATGGACCAGCCTTCCTTGCCTGTCATTGGAAACAAATTATACACCAGAACAGTTTCAAAATAAATTCTCCATTAGAAACTGTTTATGCAGTCAGGTTTCATTGTATCTTGTGTCATTTTAATTTGTACATTTTCTAATGAAATAAAAGAAAAGTTAGAAATGTGCAACAGAAAAAAGACAAAATAAGAAAATTAATTTGCAGAAATGAGTTAGGCTTTGTGTCTGAATATTTAGTAGCTTTATAATTAGAAAAATCTGATTCTGAAAACCCCTAAATCTAAATTAGAAGAGAAATGTTAAAATTTGAACTACATTAATATACAGGGATCATCTCTGTGCTTGTCCTGCTAGACCTCAGTGCAGTGTTCGATACTGTTGACCATAATATCCTATTAGAGCGATTAGAGCACGCTGTAGGTATTACAGGTACTGCGCTGCAGTGGTTTGTATCATATCTATCTAATAGACTCCAGTTTGTTCATGTAAATGGAGAGTCCTCTTGAGAGCAAAGAGATTTTATATCTCTAAGAGTAATCTTTTACTAGTTTACAAAGATTGATGAAAAAAAAGCCTTCAGTATGGGCTCATTTCAACCTTTATTCCTCTGATGATGCAAAAACCTAAAACCTTAAATGCAAGTTGCAACTTTGGCAAAGAAAGGGAAGACAACAACCTTTAACTTATACAATTGCCATTTGCTTTGATCATTTAACCAAACAAATCCAGAGCATGTGCGGCTGTGAGAGCTGTGGGATGTTGCTGCGAGGGGGTTACTTCTGGAAGATCTGCAAACACACACACACACAATGAATGTGTGTGTGTTTGCTGCCTTTGTTGCTATTGTTAGCATAATTGTCTATAATTGCCCTGTTGCATATTCATTGGAAGATAAAACATATCGTATGAGTGAAAATTGCATCTGGCTTTTTGAAGAGATTTGAAGCAGCTGTAGCAAAAAAGCCCCACAGCCCACAGGGCTGTGGGGCGATTACAGAATATGGCTTGATAGGGTAAATTTTAAACAAATTTCAAGTTCTAGAGTATTCTAGGAGGAAAATGTTATACCCCTTATTAATTTGTTTCAAACTAAATGAAAACGGAGAACACTATGGTAAATGGACTGGTTCTTATATAGCGCTTTTCTACTCATCTGAGCACTCAAAGCACTTTACACAACTTGTACATTCACCCATTCAGACCCATTCGCACAAGCACATCTTTCTAAGTGCTTTCTAGATAACATTCACACACATTCATACTCCGATGGATGCATCGGAGAGCAATTTGGGGTTAGTATCTTGCCCAAGGATATTTGGCATGCAGACTAGGGGAAGCCAGGAATCGAACCACCAACCTTCCGATCAGTAGATGACCTGCTCTACCACCTGAGCTACAGCCACCCACTGAACACTACCAACTGAGAACAGGATAGAGATACCAATATAAAATATAAAGCCCTCTATGATATAGGACATAAGCTGTAATACCGCTTGTGGGCTAACCATGGGAAAAATCCTAGACTTTGAGCTGCAAGCTGACACATTGTACTCAGATGACAAAAAGTCAGATATGAAAAAGACAAAGTGAGAGGTTCTTGAAAATGTAACTCTGATATTTCAAGATATTATTACTGACTTTCTATATAAAGGACCATTGTTCAGGCTACAGGGGGGGCCCAGTGCCAAAATTGAAGGGTAGTATAAATAATTATCTCATCTTTTCTTTACAATCACCTACAAACTGCCTTGTTTTTGTTAGCTAAGAATGGACTGGGTCTTATATGTTGCATTTCTACTCTGAGCATTTTGTACAACATGCCTCCTTCCTTAGTGACATCCTCTATGTAGCCAGTGTATCGGAAAAACACAGGAGAGTCTTCTCCAAGCACAACATCCCAGTGTACTTCAGACCCAGCAACACACTCAGACAAAAACTGGTTCATCCCAAAGAAAAACTCCTAAACACAAACTTAACAATGTGGTGTATGCTGTACAGTGTACCGAGGAATGCTCAGACCTCTACATTGGAGAGACCAAACAGCCACTTCATAAATGCATGGCACAACCCAGAAGAGCCACCTCCACGGGACAAGACTTGGCGGTCCATCTGCATCTAAAGGTCAAAGGTCACTCTTTTGAGGATGCCAATGTTCACATGTTGGACAGAGAAAACAGATGGTTTGAAAGAGGAGTGAAAGAAGCCATTTGACAGTATGTCCTCTGTGAGCGACCATCTTTGAACAGAGGCGGTGGTTTACGACACCAACTCTCTGCCATCTATAATCCAGTTTTGAGATCCCTTCCCAGACGCCTTAACGCCCACCACACCCTGGGCCATCTGACCTCAGGAAATCACATGATAAGGTGGGGCTGGGTTTCACAATGAGCTCACCCGAAACCTTGGCTGATTGTGACCCACACCTGTTTTCACACCTCGGCTCGTATGATTAGGTAGAGAATCATAGGGAATCCATTGTACCTCTTGAGGAGACACTCCCACAGAACTTAAATCTGGGACTCTCCACCATTTGACCCTAGAACTGAAGAAGCTTCTCGGATGAGAGGTGAAACGTCTTCAAGCAACCTAAAGAAGTCCAGACGCTTTTCTTTCCAAGCTCCTTAGAGTACGATGACCTGGATCGGTCTTCTTCTGTTATGCTGGCTCCCCTAGGCATTTGCGTTTTGGAAAGTGAAAGGTATATTTAGTGAGTTTGAATTTGTAAACTTATGGCTAAATGCCTATAAATGCTATGCACTGATCCTTTAAAAAAAACAAACATCAAAGATTAAACTATCACTTGCTAGACATTTGGCATTTGCTTTCAGGTAGCATGGTGGTGTGGTGGCACTGGTGCCTCATACTATAAGCTCCAGGGTTTGAATGCAGCCTGGGCCTTTCTGTGTGGGGATTGGCGGTTCTCTCTGGGTACTCCAGCTTCCTCTTATCTGTCTCTTATAAAAGACATGTATGTCGTTATGATAATTGGTGATTCTAAACCGACTGTAGGTGTGTGGGTTTTTGTATATGTTTTATACTGCCATGTCCTCTATATAATGTTAAAAAAGAGGATTTTTAATGTCTTCAAGTGCATTTTCTTAAGCTATTGCCATGACAGTACCTTTATTTTAAAAATCAATGTCTTAGAGTCATATCCAGAATTTGCTGGAGAAAGACTGTAATTTTGCCTCCACACAACCCCACAGTGGATTTTAAATCAAAAAGTCAAGATGTGATGTAATTGAACCTAGATAGGGGGATGGCCACAAGCCAGTGTAGTCCTAATGCCAGCCACAAGCCCAGATGCTCCTGTTTGAGTTTTTGCCAAATCAAACATGCACATCATCAACATTTCCGTACCTGACCGGTCAGGACCTGGGTTGTGATATTGTTGGCTAGACAAAACTAGAGGAGCGGGTGAATGCATGTTCAGAACCGGTGAGAGAGAATGAAAGGCATGGAAGTGAATTAAAATGTCCTCGCTGGTCGACCTGCCCGTTGTGTCCATGTACTTTGTTTTGTCTCGGCTCCCTTCCCGGTTCCCTATTTCCCTGTTTGTGTGTTTGTGTGTTTTGATGTGTGTGTTTCCGGAAGTCCAGTTTCAAGCGTCATTTGACCGGGAAGTATTCCCAGGCTGAAGTCGGCCACACTTGCTGCTCATCAGCCCTCGCCAGCTGGAGCTGATTGTCATTGTCAGCAGCCGCCCTATTTAACTGTGTGACAGAGCTTAAGTCGAAGCTGGATCATTGAGTTTACTCGTCAGTACATCCCCTGTTCGCTAGTGAAAACTTTGTGTTGGAAGAGTGCTGCATTTGGGTTCGCTTCTTACCACAGACCTGACAGAACGATCCAGCCAGCAAAGGACCCAGCGGACTCGAGCCCTGTTCAGCGAGAACTGTCACTTCAGGCAGATTTTTGAATCGCCATAAGAAAATGCTGCAGCATATCTCAAAGGAACAGAATGTGCTCCTCCAGGTTGTTACCAAACTGAAATGTATGTTTCAACCTCACCATGGCAGAAAATGTTCCACCCTCTCTGCCTTCCTGCTGCCTGTCCTCTACCTCCCCTCCACCCTTTCCTTGGGAGCATCCGCTACTGGTGCCGGAAAAATTATTGACAGAGTTGGATAAAAGTGCAGGTTTTCTCATGCAATGTGCTTTACAGACAGCAGAGTCAATCCTATGCTTCGGACTGTGCCAAGGTTTCATTTGTGGTGGAACTGGTGACAGGACGAGCGCTAAAATGAGCACAAGCAGTACCAAGGACTCACCCAGAGATCTCATATAATGACCTTTTGGCTAAATTCTGATAAAGGTTTTTGATAAAGGTTGCAGCTCAGACACGGCCGCACACTGGATATTCACCCTCAAACAGGGCAGGAAAAGCATGGCAGATTTCTCAGTGGACTTCTGGGTTCTGGCTGAGGAGATGGGTTGGGAGGAGAAAGCGCTCCCTGGAGCATTCCTGAACAGCCTAAATGAGGAGTTTAAATGTGAGTTGGCTACAAAAGAAATGCTCAAATCTTTGGATGCTTTCATTGCTATGTGTGTCAGGGCGGATGATCATATGCATGAGTATGGAAAATGGACTGGTGGACCTCGGCAGGCTGGTCGAAGCTCGAGCCCCTGGAAAGGGTCTCTGTCTGCAGACCGGCGCTAGGTGGAACACGAGCAGGTGGACTGGTAGGAATAGCCAAAGCAGTTGGGCCATGCCAAGCTGTCCTTCCCTGATTGAAGAATAAGATAGATTGTAGGTGAAAAGAAGGGACATTTTGCAGATTCCTGCCCCTCACAGCTAAAAGATGCTGCCCATCAGTAGCTGTGAGGATACTGACAGGTCTGACTGAAAATGTGTTGACTCTAGGGCAGAACAACATTTTATCAATGAGACCCTCGGCAAGAGGTTGGGGCTTC